GAAACAGGTGAGAGCAAGGGAATTGTTTTTAATAGCTTTATTGAGATGTAACCGATCTTCAATAAACTACACATATTTAAAGTGTCCAATCTCTTGGTTCTGTGGTGCAGTGGATTAAGCCACTGTCTGCAGTGTAGGTATCCCCTATGGGTGCCGGGTTGCAGTTCCCGGCTGCTCCACTTCTTTTTTTTTTTTTTTTTTTTAAAGATTTATTTATTTATTTGAAAGGCAGAGTTACACAGAGAGAGAAGGAGAAGGGGAGACAGAGTCTTCCGTTCGCTGGTTCACTCCCCAGTTGGCCACAATGGCCGGAGCTGTGCTGATGCGAAGCCAGGAGACAGAAGCTTCTTCCAGGTTTCCCACATGGGTGCAGGGGCCCAAGCACTTGGGCAATCTTCTACTGCTTCCCCAGGCCATAGCAGAGAGCTGGATCGGAAGTGGAGCAGCTGGGACATGAACCGGCATCTATATGGGTGCTGGCACTGCAGGTGGCAGCTTTATCTGCTACGCCACAGCGCCGGCCCCTGCTCCACTTCTGATCCAGCTCCCAGCTGATACACCTGGGAGGGTAGCAGAAGATGGCCCAGGTAAGTGGGCTTCTGCACCATGTGGAAGACCCAGAGGAAGCTCCTGACTCCTGGCTTCAGTCCGGCACAGCCCTGGCAGTTGCAGCTATTTGGGGAGTGAAGCAACAGATGGAAGATTCTCTCTCCCTCTGTCTTTTCAAATACATAACTCTTTAAAAAGAAGAAAGTGTCCAATATAGCAACCTGTGAAATCCTAACAGCCAAGAGCTCTTTCAGTTTTGATGGTGTCAACAACCTGAACTTAGAACCGCGTTCTAATTGCTCTATTTCAGTGTTAGTTAAAAAAAAAAAAAAAAGAAAGAAAGAAAGAAATGGGAGAGCACAACTCCCTGCTCCTGGAGTGTGGGGGGAGGGGACAGATGAACTTTAGAGTGTACACACTTGACAAACCCCACCTCAGCCAGGTGACCAAGGTCAGCATCAAGGTGACTGAGTCGTGCTGACAGCTGTGCCCTGTGGTCTTCCTCTCATCTGTATGTACCACCAGGATCTTTTTTCTTTAAGATTATTTATCCATTTTGAGATTTACTTATTAGAAAGACAGAGTTAGAGGAGTCAGAGAGGATCTTCCATCTGCTGGTTCACTCCCCAAATGGCTGCAATGGTCAAGGCTGACCAGAATGAAGCCAGGAGCCAGGGAATCCTCTGGTCTCTCCCATGTGGGTGCAGGAGCCCAAGGACTTGAGCCATCTTCTGCTGCCTTCCCAGGCCATTAGCAGGAGCACGATTGGACGCAGAGCACCCGGGACTCAAACCAGCGCCCATGCAAGGTGCCAGCATTGCAAGCAGCAGCTCAACCCCACTGCGCCACAACAGCACCAACCTTAAGGTCTTGAGAGCAACACACCAGACAAACTCCAGTCGTGGGCCACCGTGTAAAGCACCTGACCCGTTCTCCCCCAAATTCAAGATCACCAAAACAGGGGACGTATGAGAGACTGTCCATCAAGAGAAGCCTCAATGGCTGACACCAAAATATAATGTGGTGTCCCGGGACGGAAAAAGGACACCAGGTAAAAAACTAAGGAAATCACAATCGACTATGGGTTGTAGTTAAGGGCAAGACTGGGTTAAAGCAATCACTGTCTTGTACTAAAACTGGTAATATTTTACCAGACTCCAAAGGCTTCTGGATCCTTCGTACTTGGAAAAGTTACTTCAGCTACTGGGGCCAGCACCATAGCGCAGTAGGTTAATCCTCCACCTGTGATGCCAGCATCCCTATGGGCGCCGGTTCTAGTCCCGGCTGCTCCTCTTCCAATCCAGCTCTCTGCTATGGCCCAAGTGCTTGGGCCCCTGCACTCACACGGGAGACCAGGAAGAAGCTCTTGGCTTCAGATCGGCACAGCTCCAGCCGTTGTGGCCATTTAGGGAGTGAACCAACGGAGGGAAGACCTTTCTCTGTCTCTCCCTCACTGTCTGTAACTCTACCTCTCAAACAAGTAAATAAAATCTTTAAATGCTCTCCAAATTTGTTTTACGATTGCACAGGTATAGTTTTTAAGCAATTCTGCAGAGCTTAAAACAGTATTTATACTTCCCACGTACCACACATCCTTATATACATGGCACGTAATTACAGATGCTTTATTGAGGCAGGCGTTGTGGCCCAATGGGTTAAATCCGTTTCCAATCCAGCTCCCTGCTCACGTGCACCCTAAGAGGCAGCAGCTGTGGCTGGAGTACTTGGGTCCCTGCCACCACGTGGGAGAGCTGGATGGAGTTCCGGGCTCCTGGCTTCAGCCTGGGCCAGCAGTGACTGCCGCATGCAAGCATCTGGGAAGAAAACCAACGGATGGAGGGCGCTCTCTCTCTGTAGCTCTGCCTTTCAAATACATAATAAATTTTTAAAAATTTGTGTTGAGGGGCTGACACAGTGGTGCAGTAGGTTAATCCTCCCCCTGTGATGCCAGCATCCCTATGGGCGCCAGTTCTAGTCCCGGCTGCTCCTCTTCCGATCCAACTCTGCTGTGGCCCGGGAAAGCAGAAGATGGTGTAAGTCCTTGGGCCCCTGAACCTGTGCAGGAGACCGGGAGGAAGCTCCTGGCTCCTGGCTTTGGATCGGCGCAGCTCCAGCCGTCATGGCCATCTGGGGAGTGAACCAGCGGATCGAAGACCTCTCTCTCTGTCTCTCCCTCTCACTGTAACTCTACCTGTCAAATAAAATCTTCAAAAAAAAAAAAAAAATTGTGTTGAGTGGATGCCACTGCCCTAATCATAGGCTGTGACTGCAGTATAGGTTGAACGAGATGGGGGTGGTCCTGGCCACGAACTCCAGCAGGTTCCTCAATCATTTTGGACCCCATCCACCTTAAGGATTCTCTAGCGGAAAAGTCACCACCCAGCCTGTATCTGGTTCTGTTTCCTGGACAGCCCGGCAGCTCCACCCTGGCTGCACCAATACAGCCTGTGGTTGTGACTGCCTGTCAAAAACTAAGTACCGGGGCCGGTGCTGTGGTGCAGCGGGTTAACACCCTGGCCTGAAGCGCCAGAACCCCACATGGGCGCCGGTTTGAGACCTGCTGTTCCACTTCTGATCCAGCTCTCTGCTATGGCCTGGGTCCTTGGGGCCCTGCACCCGCATGGGAGACCTGGAAGAAGCACCCAGCTCCTGGCTTCGGATTGGCACAGCTCCAGCCGTTGCGGTCAACTGGGGAGTGAACCATCGGATGGAAGACCTCTCTCTTTCTCTCTCCCCTTTCTCTGTGTAACTCTGACTTTCAAATAAATAAATAAACCTTTAAAAACAAAAACTAAGTACCCCCAGAGGACAGGACAGGCAGCACCTCCCCAGCTCACGGCAAGGAGCAAGGCCTCATACCCTTCTCTGTGTCTCAGAAGGACCACTTCCTCTTTGTCCCAGATAAAGAGACTCAGGCTTTGGCTCTGCCACTGGCCACCAGCCTGTGACCTGTGGCCATGCTCCAACTGTGAAAGGAGAGAGCGAGTCATCAGGTCCCTTCTAGTTCCTTCCATCCAGTTTGTCCAGGCCCGGGACTTCTCATGAGTGGACAATACACTCCTGTGAGAGTGGATCCTGGCCTGCTCAAATCTGAGGGGCTCGTTATGACCCAATCTGCACCCCCTCTCAGTGGTCACAGCAGCCGAAACCAGAGCAGATCAACACGGCACCCGAGACTGGTGCAGACCTCGGCTGCACCTCAGAGCAGACAGGCAGGTAGGAAGACCTTCGCCCCAAGTCAGCCGCGGGCAGAGCCAGCACCTGAGGCTGACGGCAATGTGGGCAGGGCCACATTCCCCAGAGGTCACAGCTGAGTCACTAGGCAGAAACCAGGAGGTAAGTTTCTCCCAGTACCCAGGTGGCTGTGCCACCGAGGAGCTGAGCGGAGCCAGTCTAGGGCGAGGCCACTGGGCAGTCCCGACCCTTCAGACATTCCAGACATCAACATTAAGACACTGGACGTCTCTGAGTTTCCTGGAGGCCAGAACACCTGCGCTGTGCCTCCGATGGTGACAATTAGATGGGGCATTGTGTGTGAAACCGCAAGCAGACAGCAGGCACTCAGATAGGTGCGGTTGGTCTACGAACGCGCACTTGGACCAAGAAATTGCACCCCACTGCTCCCAGCTGGTGTGTCAGGGGGTGAGGGGACAACGCTTCATAGCCCTTGGGGAGAAACTGGCTTCAAAATCTGTCCTTACATCCCCTACTTCTTTGCGAGTCTCCCGGCAGCAACGCGAGCGGCCAATGCGGGCAGGAGGGGCTGAAGAACCAGCCTGCTGAGCCGGCTCGCACACCGAGCTGCTTCCGGGCTGGGGGCTCACAGAACGCTCTCTTCCTACTCCAGTATGCTGGAGAAGAGTCCCTCGGGCACACAGGCACAGGTGCCCGTCTATGTGCTTCAGACCTTAACTGCTCCATCTCTCCAAACCGCGCTATGCCGCACGGGGGCGGGCAGTCTGAGATGAGCCTCGGAACTTTACCCTCCCACGTGCAGCCAAGCACAAAAAGACTTAGGCCACACGCAGACACCGCCCCCACCTAGCAGGAGGCTTCAGGCCAACGACCCAGCTCCACCCCTGCAATGAGGAGACACAGCCTCCCAGAGGCAGGTACTGCAGAAACGCGGACATGGAGGCTGCAAACGCTTCGCTCAGAGTCCAGCCGTCCGCCCTGGACCTTGTTCCCCGTATCAGTAAGGAAAGCCGCACAGTAATAAACACTGGTGCCTTCAACCTTGCCAGGCCAGTGCTGTGGCAGACTTTCCTTCTGTTTTTATTTTTTTTTTTTTGAAAGAAATGAAAAACAGCATTCAAGAGCAAGAGTGGAGACTTGAATGGATTTATTGCCCCCTGAGGCCCCTCTGAGGAAGATGCCCGTGAACCTGAAGGTAGGCGGGGCACAACCTTGCCACAGGTCAAGGGCACGGTCAGTAAGAGGCGGAGGCTCGGTGGAAGTTAAAGTATTTTATTGATGTGTTTAAACTCTGTACATTCTCCACAGATCAGATTAAGGAGTTTGCAGGTGAAGTTTAATCTGTGCATAGTGGGAAGAGACATGGATGGGGTCAAAGGAGAGGAAGGAGAAAAAAAAAAAACAGTCACAGGAAAACAAAACAAAACAAAAATACACCACAGGTTACCAGAACCTTCATATTAAAAAGAAGAAAAAAGGAAGGAAGGAGCCGTGAGCGTCAGCGTCAACTATACAAGCTTTACAAAGACTCGTGAAGGGAACGAAACCCTGCCAGGCTCTCCGCGGCGTCCACACGCCCGCTTCCTGCACTGCCCGCGCTCCGCCCACGTCCCGGGGTTTCTCCGAGGGACCCGCAGAGGGCCAGGAGCCGGTGCCGTGGGTGGGAAACGTCCGAGGAGGGAAGAGACCACACGCGTGGGCGGACGTGGGGGGGGAGTGAAGGGCAAAGAGCTACAGGCAGCCGGCGGCTGCAGCGGACACACCAGTGGCTCGCCCTGTGGAAGAACTGGATTTGGAGGGAAAGCAGCGGCGGGCCCTGCTCTCTGAGATGCGGGGCGCCGGGCCTTGAAGCTCGCCGGCCACACGGCAGTCAGTCGCGCCGGTCCTCTAACACCACTCAGAGGGCGTCGGGAGCCGCAGGGGCGGGCGGCAGGTCCCTGGTTCCACTTTCAGCTTTCAGAGCGCATTGTTAAAAGACAGTGCTGCCTTCTCTCCTGCTGGTCTTGTGTCTCCCCTAATAAAAACCAGGTCAGTGAAGGAGCCTACAGAGTCGGCGTATACAATGCAACTGGAACAAACGGTCTGCATATACAGTCTACAGATGAAAATCAACAGTTTCCATACAGAGAGAGCATGTGTGAGACGATACAAGAGAAGTGGGCTTTCTTCTGATTAATTTAAAAAGAAAACTGCATCAGTCAAATATCTGCAATAGATCTTTTCATTTCACTTAAGGTTTATATATCATATACTGTTATATTAACATTTTTCACCCATTTAAAAGAATGGAATTGCAATTCTACAGTAGTACTTCATAGTCTTAACGACACGGGAGGTCAGGATGGCAGCCGAAGCCCTCAGGCAGCGGCTGCTGGTCGGTGTCGAGCCCGAAGCTGGGCCTCTTCCGGCCCACCTGCACCACCCCACTCCGGCCAGGGGGCCACGGTCCTGTCACTTAAATCTGCATCTGTTCCAGGTATTTGTAGGTTGGGTTCTCATATCCGTGGTTCTGCATCTTGTTCAGGTGACGCTCTTCTGGGGTCAGCATTGGGTCCACCTGGGAGAACAAAGGTCGGGGGTCACTGCAGTGCCCAGGGCAGGCCTGAGCTGTTTGGGCCCAGAGACCAAAAGCAGCCCAGCGTCCCATTTCTGTGGGTGGGGGTGCAGGAGGAGGAGAAAGAAAAGAAGGGGGCTACAGAGGGAGGTTTCTGGGGCCGGAGTCCTGAGGGCGCAGCCCGAGCGGGAGAAGGCAGTGCCCTGGATTTCCTGGCACCACAGGGACGGGCGAGCCATCATCTGCCAGAGGCAAGCCGCTGGCCTCTCAGCTTCGAAACAAGCAGCACCGCCGTGTGATCGCTGGCCTTTTCCAGCTCTGAAGTTCTATCCCCAGGCCAGGCTCCAGAGGAGATAAAATCAAATAAACTAAGACACGCGTCTGAACTGACTTCCAAGAACATACTGGAATTTTTCTTCGGAAGTCGAGAGGCTGGGCACTCCCACCACCCGCCAAAAACTGAGAGGTGAGAAGCTCCAAGAACAAACGAGCAGAAGCCAGGACACACACACCTGCCTGCACCTTTCTAGATCGCCTGCTGGTCTCTGGCTTTTTCCTCCCCATTAAAGGGAGTCAGGGAGGGGAGCGAGGCGCGCCGTGGCGCAGCGGGTCAGGCTGCCGCTGGGGACACCCGCGTCCCCTTGCAGAGCGCTGGGTTGAGTCCTGGCTGCCTCGCTGCTGAACCACCTTCCTGCTAACGCACCTGGGAAGGCAGCAGGGACTCCCAACTCTGGCTAGGCCCCGCCCCACCCGCTGCTGGCATGGATTTGGGAAGTGAACAGAGTGGATGGCAGATCTGTCCCTCCGTCTCGCTGTGCCACTCTGCCTTTCAAACACATAAATCTGAACAACAATGCCAACAAAAAAGAATGGTGAGGGGGTGGGACATCTGGTCCAGCAGTTTAAGATGCTACTCGGGATGCCTGGTTTGAGGCTCAGCTGTGCTCCCAATTCTGGCTCCCCGCTAATATACACCGGGGCGTGCGGCTGGGGCGGGGTGGGAGGAGGAAGGGGAGCATGTGGCAGGTGTTGGTGTCTGGGTCCCTGCCACCCATCTTGGAGACCTGGATTGAATTCTGAGTTCCTGGCTTTGGCTGCTGTGGGCATTTGCGGGAGTGAACCAAAAGATGGGAGAACTCTGAGTCTGCCTTCCAAATAACAAACACAGACACAAATTGATAAATAAGTAAAGGCGACTGTCCCGTGGGAGACAGGAAGCGCAGGGCAGCAGCCCTGGGCGCTCACGGATCCAACATGCTGAGGAAAGCAGACGCCAGGGAATAAGCCGAGACGGAGCAGAGAACGTTCCTAGTGCCCACCCCATTCCCAGTCAAGGCCCGGATGAATGCTGACAGTTGGCAGCAGCCACTGTAACGGGATCAACGTAATTCAGTTGTGGCCGGCTTCCAAAACGGGGCCTAATAATCCAGTGAGAAATTAAACCGAGGAGAGCAGCATGTCCACTACTCGGGCGGTTAGGAGGTTTGCATCCCACACAATTTCCGCCGTCGCTACCACCCCTGGGGCCAGCAGTGCCAGCCCAGGACCAAGTCAGAACGGCCAGTTCTCACCTCCACGATCCCGTGGCTGATGGTGCCGTACTGCCGCTTCCTCAGCATCACCAGGCTGATGACGATGACCGTGGCGATGGCCACTGCGATGACCAGCAGGCCGATGAGGGCACTGCTGCTCAGGCTGAAGTCCTCTCGCAGAGGCCCCGTGGATTCCTACGGTGACAAAGCAGACAAGGACCAGAGTCCCGGCGACCGCCTGGCCATCGTGACCCGGTAACTCAGGGAGGGCTACGTGCCTCAGAAGCTGGGTCTCTGAGACCCAACGAGGCACCAAGATGCTGCCGTGCAGGTGGGCATCCGCATGGGAGGACGCCCACTTCTTCCAATCTCCGTGGAGATTGTAACTGTAGCTTCCCCGGACACGGGGCCTACAGCACCAGGCATCTCGCCTGCTTGTCCATGAACTGAGAAGACAAGACAGACTTGCAAGCGGGCCTTAGGTCCTGCAGCTGAGCACCTACCGGCTCCTCCTCTAGGCCTCCGACCCGCTCGGCATTGAAAATCATCTCCTTAACATCCAGGGTCTCGTCGATGACCTGCAACAGTCACGGAAACATCACGACTGGCGAGCAGGTGAGGGGAGCTCCAGTGGAGACATCATGGCTTCTCTCTACCCCTTCATCATTCGGGGGAGGAGAGCAGATGCCTGCTGGCCGCCCACTAACCAAGCGCTCCTGTCACACTCGTCCAAAACCACGCCCCAAACCTCCAAATGAGGGGCGAGTGTGGGTCCTATAGGATTTGCACCTGCGTTTTCCTTTGGGTAACAGATTAACCAAAAAACACTTACATATCAAACTCAATTAAGAAATATAAGTAATAGAAAATGCTAGAAGAACAAAAGGGAGAGTAAACCTAAGGCAGTGTAAGAATCAAAATCTACTTTCAAGTTCTTAAGTCTCTACTCCACTGAAAATAGCTTCTAGAATGTTCTGTGCGTCTTTAGTAATAAACCCAATTCCCTCCTATATAGCAAGAGATGAGCCACTGATGAACACCAGGTCTTCAGTCTTCTCTCCTATGCACCGGCTTCACAAGGCAGCCCGCCTTGCAGCGGGTGGAGTCCCTCCATCTTCCACCACGCGGAAGTGACACGAGGCCACGGGCTCTAGACACTCTCAAAAGTGAAATGGGCTCACCATATGTTCCTCCACTTTATTCTTACTGTTAATCACTTTCTCTTCTGCACCAATCAGCGCCCCGTCCTGCTCTCCCACTCCAGATCCTGTGTGGAGAGAAAGCTGAGCTGAGTGTCTGAGCGTGGTTGACCTCATGCCTCCCCGCCCCGGCTCCATACGCCACTGTATTCACACGTGGAGGATGCACTGTGCCTAAGGATGAATGACACACGCACGGTCAGAGAACCGATGGGGAGGATGGACGAGCAGGGAGTGCTTACTTGCCTCCGACTTGGAAAAACGGAACGCCGGCCTTCAGTGACGACGTCTGTGGGCTACCCGGCAGACGTGTTGGGGCACTGGAGCACGAGAGCACGTACCGCCCTCGCCGGTGACACCACTGAGCACCTCCAACCCCACACCTGTTCTGCCAGCTCCTGGGTCCTCCCGCGTGGAGAACCCTCCACAGCCTCGAGCATGGCTGTTTACCCCACAGGCAGTTCTTTTCTGCCTCAAATGTCCTTCCCTTAACCACTTCAATTTGTCCTCTGGGATGCAGCTCCTTGTGGGAGACATTCTCGGGCTACAGCACTTAAAAAAAAAAAGTCACAGTTTGCAACGGACCGCCTTGGGTCTCTCCCAGCAGGCTGTCGCCCCTCAGTGCCTGGATCATGATGGTCACACAGTAAACAGTTCTGAAAGCACGCACAGGAAGCACGTGTTCCCTCAGCAGAGGGAGCGCCTGACACCACGGCGGAGGGCACCTTTCTCTAAGCAGAGCGAGAATAGCAGCTCTCCTCTTGCCAAGGTCAGACGTGGCCCGAGCCAACGTCACCGGTGCGTGGCACTCGAGTGACAGACTCCAAACACACCCAATGACTGGGTCCAGCAGAGACCGAAAGAAGAGAACTCTGAGAAAAAAACCCTCTTTATTCTCAGGTTCAGTGTATGTGGTTCCTAGTACCACACAGAGTTTCTTATTAATAAAAAATACACAGTTCTACATACAAGTCTATGACCTGAAGCTTTTACACAGAGGTCAAGCTAACAGCACGCTTGGGAACGACCCGTACACACCAAGCACAGCTCTCCCTGGGTCTTTCCACAGCGAAGCATTCCTGCTCACAAGCAGATCTGTTCTTAACACAGAGCAATTAATAAGAGCTATTACAGCTGCTGAACTTGCAAACTAGCTAATGCATTAACTTCTTACAATGCAGCCAAAAATGATGCAATTTTCTTTCCCAAGCTTTCACTGAAGAACTGTACAACTTCACTGCAGTTAATTAGGGTGGGCTTTTGTAGCCTCAAAATGCCAATGAAACAGAGATATTGCACGCTGTTTGAAAGCAGGAACCTCAAGTGAGGATGCGTAGGACCAAGCTCAGTGAATCTGAGTTTGGAGCTCTCTCCTTTCTCTTGCTCAGGATTTTAAAGGTCACAAGGGCAGGAATCTACCTGAAAGTTAACGTGGCATTGGAATAACTAACTGAAGTCCTATGGGCAGTCCCGACTGTTGTAATATTGTTTTTGATGGCACAGCCCCTATGCATTTCTAACACTGAGCAGTCTAGAATGTTTAGGACTGGGGTGGCACCTGGCCTGACAGTGAAGACACCAGCTGAGACACCCACATTCCACATCAGATTGCGTGGGCTCAACTCCTGGTCTAACTTCTTGCCAGTGTAGATCCTGGGAGATAAGTGGGTGACAGCTCCAGTAACTGAGTTCCTGCCATCCACATGGGAGACCCCAGATTGTATCCTGACTCCTTGCTCTGCCCCAGCCATTGCAGACATTTGGGGAGTGAACAGCAAGACAGGAGTTTTCTCTGGCTTTCAAATAAATAAATAATAATAATGATAAATAAAATGATTAAACAAGTGACTTCCAGAAACCAAGAGTTAATGGTTAAACTGTCTCAACTCAGAACAGCTAAAGCATGAAGGCAAAAATCCAGCTAAACTCTGAGTTCCTCTTTATCTATAACATCTACAAGGTGCCGCCGAGAGGAATGTGAGCACAGTGATCTCCAAGAAGAGGCATAACTAAGTAACACAAAATAAAGATTTTACACAGAAGTGATTTTCAGAAGACTCAAAATACATTTTTATATTCTGGCAACAAGCTGGGGGCAGAAACCAGAACCCCAAATTCTCAGCCAGGGAACACCGCTTGGCCCGTCTGTCATCAGTCTGCCAAAGTCAGAACATGAAGTGACTGCTTAGGACAGCTCTAGAGGCTGGACCACCCAGACACCCGGGAGGACTCTGCAGCTGACGTAACAGAAATCGCTAGGGCTCTGGGGACGCAGAACTGGGGTCAAAGCCGCATTCCTCCACTTCTTAAACTCACAGTTTGGACTAAGTTGTGTCATCTCAGAAGGTTCTTTGATTACCTGTTCTATAAAATAGAGCTGAAGAGCCTAGCCCACAGAAATGATCAGAGGGTTAGGCGAGATCGGGCATACAGAGCGCCTGGCCCAGTGCCTTCTACAGCGGTGACTGTTTTTGAACACTGGAGACTCACTGCAGCCAGAATTCACAGTCTCCACCTGTTTCACCCATCAGCTTTTAAGGTTCGAGGGAATGCTACAACTCCGGGGACAAGAGACAGCTGGCACAGGCAGAGGGCAAGGGTAGCTGAATGGAAAGGGGACAGATGTTAAGTGGGGCTAGCAGAGGAAAACGAAGGGGTGAAAGGCTGACTCCACCTCAGCGTGACTTCAGCGTATTCTAATAAACACAAGCGATGCACCGTCAGGCTGTTTCAAGTGGATGCACTTTAGAGACCTGTCCAGGTTACGGGAATCTATCTACGAAAGCATCTACTTGAGTTACTGTGCGTTCTCCGGCATCTCAGAAGGAAAGCCCGGGATGGCTACCCGGTGAGCCACACCACTGGCACTGGACTCAGTGCTGGGCAGTGAGGGCAGTGTGTTAGCAACGCGGAGGGAGAACTATGCTGGCTCTACTCACAGCCACGGCTGAAGAAAATGAGGCGGACAAAAATCAGGTGATGGCATGAAACAGAAAATGAAACTTCTGACACACTGGGGAAGTGAAAGGAATGAAGGTCTCACGGGGAGCGTCTTGGACAAACCAACCTTTTTTCATTGGGTGGTACAACTCCGGCTGAGTGTCTAGCAGAAAGAAAAACAATAAAGAAAACAAAACAGCACAAGAGGAGATTAAGAAAGAAAATGGCTTCTTTCAAAATTCCTAGCTATAAAGTGAACAACAAATTTTCTTCCTGTATAACAGACCATGCCTGAAACATCCCACAAACAAACCAGCTGTAAGATCCGCAGCGAACCACTGGAAGGTATCCTTGGTAAGGGAGAAAAAGGAGTAGGTGTGTTTTGGGCCTTTCGAGGGAAATTTTGGAAGATGTCCAAATTTTTCAGCTCAGCCCACGAAATTATGCTTCTTAACAAACTGTAGTTAGCATCGACTGTGGTTTGAGGACAAGGGGGCTAGGTCCTCCTGGAGTTCTGTCTGGAGCTCTGTCCAAGATGCTCTGACCCCAACACACAGGTAGCTGCCCAGGCCTGGTCCTGCTGAGGCCTTGCAGAGGCCTGGGATTTGTGAGAGCAGGCCTAGGGAATGGATGGTGCTTCCTTCCACACCTATGCAGTGGCTACGTTCGCTGGCCTGCTCTTCCTACTGGAGGGTCAGAAGCCCTGGGTACGGACCTCCGAGAAGGTGGCGCTGACAGGCCTGAGGGCTACGGGGGACATGCGCTGCCCCTCCTCAGCACCCTCTGCGGCCTGTCTCGGGGCCACACGGAGTCAGGGGGAGTGGTGAGGGAGTGTCCTGTAGTGACTGCAGGAGTCCGAGTTCAAACCCCTGCTCTCCCCACCCACAAGCTGCGTGGGCCCTGGCCAAGTAATTTCACTTCCTTACACCACAGGATCCCCAGATATGGGCACCAAAGTACCTACCTTAGAGGGTTATCCTGAGGCATGCGGGAGCCCACCCGTGTAAGAGGCTTAGCTAAGCTGGCTATGGCAAAGACTCCGCAGAGGTGAGCCACTTTTATCTCTACTGCCATTAGCCGCCGCCGCAGCACAGGGTCTGATTACACCGACTGCTCTCAGCGGCCTGTTCATTTCAGGTGCAGACTCACAGCATGTGGAGAGACTGAGATATTAAGAGGTGGCTAGGGAACAGAGGAAGCAGGCCTGACTCAGAACCAGAGGACACAGCGCTTCTCACGCCATCTCATGTCCAGAGATGGGACCTGCAGCCAGCCACGGCACCTGCTCCACCTCTCCGCCACCTCTCCGGGGACATACCACGAAGGTGCTATCTGAGCTGCAAAGTGACCTGCACACAGCTGCACGGAGGGCATCACACAGCTGAAGAACAGCAGGCTGCAGGCAACCCATCTATAAAACGGCCGAACAGTTTGAACTTCCCGGTGACACCAGCCACCTGCGGGCAGCTGCAGGATGCTGCACACAGCCGGAGCCTGCGAACCCAGTCCCCTTCCCCGAGACCATACCCCGGGCTCAACCCCCCAGCTCACGCCGGCTTTACCAAGGGGACTCCCACGTCCTCATGTCGTCTTCTCCCACCCCACGGCCAAGAAGCGGCACTGAGTCACACGCACCTTCGTTCTCGGGCAAGGCCGGGAAGGGATGGAAGGGGTAGAACGGCGGGATCTCCTCGCTCTCCTCAGAGCTCACCCGGACATCCACCGGGCTCTCGGAGATGGAGGCAGTGAACTGGTCCATGTCCGCACGCTGTTCCTGGAGGAGTTCATCTGGCAAAGGCACAATGGGGACCCGACACGGCAGCTTTCAGGACTGGCGCCCGGGCCCCAGGCCAGCGGTCTGATAGGGTCAGGGCTTGTCCTCCGAGGGCGCGAGATCTGCTAAGGACAGGGTCCTGGCAGCCCACAAACTTCGGCTGGCCCCTTGACCCCCCTCCCACAGCAACACCCCCAGGGGTCTCCTTCAACACCAGGTTTATTTTTCAGCGTGTATTTAAGGAGTACCACATGGTGTTGTGATAGCCATATACATAGTGCCAGGACCACTACAGTCATGCAGATGGACACACCCATCACTCTCCACTCCCAACTTCTCCCTACTGGAAAGAACACCTACGTCGCCAACTGGCAAACGGTCAGTATCCCAAACCAACAGCACGACTGTCGTGCACATACTCCAGACCACTCATCCCACGGAACTGCAGCTTCAGGCGTCCCCCTCAATGCCGGTTTTAAACGCCACCCAGACTCCAGCACCCCCAGACGTGCGTCCATGCCTACCACCTGCCTTCTGCCTCATGCCTCCATCGACCGACGCTAGACCTCCACGCCACGCCCAACAGCAAACGTCCGGAGAACTCCCCGTTCTCTTTCCCGCCTCGGGAAAGGTGGCACCACCCTCCCAGCTGCCTGAGTGCCAGTCTGGGCGCTCGTCCCTTCGCCCCCACCCCCAGCCCGCAGCATGTGCCCTGCAGAGCCAGCTCCGGGCTACCTTCTCCAGGCACACCACCTCGCCTCGCGCCTGGGCTGCTTTAATTGCTTCCTGGCTGCTTTCCAGTTTTAATCAACTCTCCCCACAGCAGCCAAGCCATCTTTTTTTTTGCCCACCAATTTGTGTTCTTTTTAAAAAATATTCTAGATCTAATCACTGCTCAGCTTAAAGCCCTTTAGCAGCTTCTCATTATCCTGGAACGAAACTCAAACGCCTTGATTTCATTTCCCTTTGACACAACAACTCAGACGTGCCGCCTGCCTCACTCTTTCAGAGTAGCAGTTCCCGCCTCAGCTAAGGGTGCGTGTCCCTCGGGATGGCTGCATGAGTGGCTCCGCGTGTCACTCAGAATCAGGTTATCCCCTCGCACAGGCGGCGGCCCTGACCTCTGGCCACTCCGCCAACCCTGTGCGGCTGTGTGTGTGACACCGGTTTCCTCCGACTGCAACAGGGACTCTAGCAGATGCTCTCTGCCGGCACACCATCTTACCCTGTGACACACAGCACACACACAACAGCATCTGCTGAATAAGTGAGGAAGATCAGGACTGGGAGAGGGACAGGAGGCGAGAATTTGTGTCCGACAGCACGCTTTGAGGTACCCCAGCAGTTTGGGGGGGGGTGGGAACAGGAAGCTTCCCCACCCCTTGCAATTTCACACTCCAGATTTTCTTCCGCTAACGGTGAAGGTCAGTGAAACTCGAGGCTCTGTGGCTCCCGGCCAGTGCATCTGTCCTTGCTGATTCCCGACCTGGCCAGGCGCCTGCGGACTTCCAGACCTTGGAAACCCTGGCGTGCTAACGCCAACTTCACCAGGCTGGCTCACTTGCTCCCCACACCTCTAAGCCTGCCTGGCCACCACCCTTGGCCTCAGCAAGGAGTCCCAGCTGACCCTGAGACAGTCAGTACCCACCGATTTCCTCTTGAATTTCCTGGGCGACGTAAGGTACTTTGTAGAGCAGAGAGAGGCTTTGGTTCCTCCTTTCTTCAATCACGTGGAGATGTGTCATCACCTGGAAGCAAGTTACGGCGCAGAGGTCTTGTCACTGAAAACAACCAGGCCGGGGCCAGGGGAGCTTGCAAAGACAGTCTCTCTCTCTCTCTCTCCCTCTCTCTCTCTCTCTCTCAGTATACAGGTATGTTCTGACTGAATAAAACACCACCAGGTTATGCAAGAATTCATTGAGAGAGGCTGCTCCGAGTTAAATTAGGTCTACTAGCCACTTTCTGCTTTGATTTTCGTACGGGGTACCTACTGTTTCACTGTACTGAGTCAGAAAGAGCCCTACTTTGTACAATGCTGCACACTCAAGAGGGTCCTGCTCAGTGAAGAGTTAATTTTTGCCACTGGTCAGATTAAAGGGATGCAAAGACTGGAACTCCGATTACAAGGTGCATGTTGGGTAGAGGAGGGCCACTGGTGGATTTCGCTTAGTGAAGCAACTGCCTAAAACCAGGATAGTGTCAAGAACAGAACCAGTTTCCTCCTATTGCTAAGCTACTCTCTGAAAAACTCATGCCGTATGTGAACAAATCTGACCTGAAGGGGTGTGAGAGGAGACCTATCTATCTATCATGGCTCATATCAAAGCCACTTTTTCTGAACCCAAGTTCCACTAGCACAACCCCAAAAAAGCCAGCGAAAGTGATCACTTATTTTCAAAGCTTTTCAGAGTGGCTTCAAAGCGAGATCTGAGCTAACGTCACGTCAACGGCAGAGAGAGGCAACAGTATGATTGCTGCTCTGTCAGCTCCTCTAGGCCAAGCTACACGTGCAGTTACTGAACATTTCCTAAAGAGGGTGCTGTAAGCCACTGGATTAGTTAACATGAGCTTGAAGCCATTAACATGAAGGATCAAAACGAAAAAAAAAAAGTTAAATGGAAAGATGCTTTTATTACAGATTGATGTCTTTCTGACCTTTAAAAGCAAGGATGAAAGCAATTTAATTTTATATTTGCCATTCTATCAATCAAGCAAATTGATGGGAAAGCCCAAGAATGAGGGGCCTTGGAGAAAAAACGCAGATGGAGCTGCACTGCACCGCTTAGTCTCAGCCCGCGTTGACACTGTTACACTTCCCTGGAGGATTAAGGGGCCATCTGAGAGAGGACGGCTTGTGCCCAGAGGACGACAAGAGCCACGGGGCGGAATACTAGCAATCAGAGTATCCTGTGAGGGTAAGAGCATCTTATCACTGGTATCCAGGCAACCACGCAGGGCACAAGTTGCTGAAGGCTGAATATCTTCAGATTGTTCCAAGGTTTAAAGAACAGAACAGGAACACACAACAGGATGCTATCACTCAGCAGCCAAGCTATGGCAGAACTCGTGGCTGAGAGCAGATCCTAAATAGCACGCAGCGAGCTGGGTCTCCCCACCAGTCACGATACACACACAGGAAGTCGGGAAGGAGAACTCTCGGGACAATGGCAAGCACCCATGGCCGTCCGTGTAGCCCACATACGCTGGCCCTCACAGTCAGCACCGCACTCACTGTGCTTACGATATGGGAGAAGTAAAATAGGAATGGTGATGTCGTTTTACAAAGCCCCTCTAGGAAAACTAGTAGCTGAGTTTACAAGGAAGCCAGCAGCCCTGCAGGCAAGTTTATTTTCTATGAATACAAGAAAAAAAGTAAAATTCAAGCTAAAATAGGGACAATCTTAAAATGAGAAAGAAGAACCAAAAACAAATCTCTAGAGAGGGTTGAGAAGCAAAGCTGGATCCAGTATGGGACAAAACCCAGGAATACAAGAGGTGTCTACCTAAACACACACCAAAAGGCACAACACCAGAGGAGACCAGCTTTTACACCTACTTCATACATTACCTAGAAAAGGATTTTAAGTATTAATTCTGGTCATTTTCTAAATCAGAAATAAGCTGTCATAAAAACCAATTTAGAAATGGATTTATTTCTTCAATATAATCACGCATTTCTGAAACTTAAGCATGGAAGTACTTAATATAAAAAGGTATGGAGGGGCCAGCATTGTGGTGCGCCAGGTTAAGCTATAGCTTGCGACCCCACTGGCGTTCCTGTATCAGAGTGCTGGTTTGAGTTCCAGTTGCTCTATTTCTGAACCAGCTCCCAGCTAATGCATCTGGAGAAGGCCCAGGTACCTGGATCCCTGCCACCCAGGTAGGAGACTCAGATGAGAGTTCCTGGTTCCTGGCTCAGCCCTGGCTACTGCAGCCACTTAGGGAGTGAAGCAGAGGATGGAAGACTTGTCTTTCCCTCTGATGCCCTGCCTTTCAAATAGATACATAAACCTTTAAAATAAATAAATATGGAAAGATATGTTTAAAGTTTGCAGCTTTACAATAACCAACTATCAAATACCATCTTCCAAGGACCAATAGTAAGCATAACTAGCCATGCTGTCCGACCACGGCCAAGGCCGCATCTCTCCACGAGAACACACTCTGTCTGGTGTACCTGTGATTTCATCTGGGCGGCCTTTTCTGGGTCAACAGCCAGCACATGCTGGTAATGACGGATGGTATGCAGGCGATCTTTGTTCTCGGCGCGGACATACCGCCGCAAGGCGTGGAGAATGCGATATGGCTGCAAGGTAGAACAGTTGTTTTACTACCCAGAGACTAGAAAATTGAAAACAGGCAGGAAAAAGTTCCAGAAAAAAACTGGAACTCAAAAAAAGAAAAGCTCCACGAGTTCACGGCACTGGCACAGCGGTTAGACACTGCCTGGGACACCAGTGTCCCACGCTGGAGTGCCTGGCCTGTGCTTCAGTTCCCAGCTTCCTGGTAGCGTGCAGCCTGAAGGCAGCAGGAGATGACAGCTAACGCAGCTGAGCCGCTGCCACCCACATGCGGGACCAGGATTGAATGTCTGGCTCTGGCTTTGGCCTGGCCCGGCCCTGACTGTTGCAAGCCTCTGCAGAGTGAACCCACAGAGGAGAATTGTGTCTGTCTCTGCTTTTCAAGTAAATAATTTTTTAAAGAAAGAATATAAAGTTTAGTTAGACACAAGAATGAGAGATGTAGCCTTAAAGTCTTTTTTTTTAGGTTACCAAGTAACAAGAAACTAGTTTTCTAAATAAAGTAACAAAATCTATGTTCCAGAGTTACACTGGTTCCTTGATAATCCCCAGCCCGCTGCCAACCTGCTCTAGCCTGCTTCCTGGCTCAGCCTCCGACCCCTGTTACAGGCCAGGCGGTCTCCGGCAAAGCCCAAAGGGCAGACCTCACTGCACACCAACACCCTCCTTTCCAGTCCTTTCTACCGGCAGTCAGAGCTCAGCCATGGAGAGAGCTCGAGACCACTCGCATAAAAGGTTCAATATAAATTACCTTATGCTTTTCTTCATAATCTTATTTTAGAATGGAACTGGTTCAAAAGCCTCCATTCATAGAAGGCATGTTTCATTCTTTGAACGGCTACCACAGAAAAGTCAATAATTGGATAATTACCAAACAATACCCTGAGGTTATGCTTTTCTAGCATAAAAGACTTCACATCGCAGGTCCACGCAGGCACTCCGTGACGTACTGCTAAGCTAAGGGCAGCGACTAGAACAGGACGTCTTCGCCTTCCCTAATCTTTCCTTACCTTCAGCTTTGCCCGAATCTGTCATAAAACACAGTGTTTACAACCTGTGTGCCACGCTGGCTCCTCACGTGGGCCGCTCGAGGACAGGCGACACCGGGGCTGCGACAATGACTCACCCGTGGCGGGTCGGACTGCAGGGCGGCCAGGTAATTCTCCAGAGCCACCCGCCGGCGGTCGTTCAGCATGGCTTCCACCCGAGCCAGGTGCGTCTCCACCAGCTGCTGCTTCTCGCTCGCTGCTTCCTTCTCCAAGGCTTTCACCATGGCTTGGAAATGCTAGGCCAAGACAGGAGGAGCAACACACCACTACAGCACCAGAAGCGAGTCCAAGAAGCAACCTCGGGCCCCGATGCTTCCCCTCGGCCCGTGCCTGGGCAAGTCTGTAGCAGACCCAGAGGGGAACAGGGGTGCGATCAAAGGATACTTATCTGCTTCCCATCAGGGTGATCGCTCCCTAACCCACAGGGAACACGCTCATCTCAGTGCTCCAAAGACTCCTTAGTATTTCTGTAACTGAGGGTACTACCGCTGCAAGCCCAGTGCCTGGTTTCGCCACATGGGCTGTCCTTTTCACAGGGTGGCAAGGGGCTGATTTCAAGGGTAACGGTTTGAAACATCGTGCAGCAGTGTTGTGGGGGATGCTGGATCACTCTGTGCAGTCATGAAGGGCAAGTTACCTGAGAAGCATCTGGCCAGGTTTACAGCAAGAGTTTAAGGCTGTTGAACTAAATTTCAACGCTGGCTTATGCAGGCATTAAAACTTAGATTTTCTTTTAGTAAAACAAAACAAAACAACACAGGTCTTCCACTAACATGTCAATAACATCCTAAGAAAGATTTCAGTTCCAATTTAAAATGTAGCAAAGCGTTCCAAAGCCAAATGCATCTTTTAAATTGCTACCCATCCTCCTAGCTATGCTGCGTCCTCCATGAAGCAGGACACGGCTCGCTGCCACCGTGGTAAGGCTCCAGCGTGCATCAGAAACCTCTGCTTCCTGCCTCTTGGACTTTTTAACTAGCCTACAAAGACAAAACGGTTCAGTACTGCTGGAAAACAAGGCACAGACTAAGAACAAAGACAAGAGACAGCTTCTGCCAGGCAAGCAGAACTAACGTGGCAGCCGAGCTAAGGTTCCTTCCAGGGTGAACTGGGTGTGTCCCAGTGTCCTGGTTTCCTCCTTCTACAGGTGAGTGATACCAGAGAGGAACAACAAACACAGGCCGCTTATTACTTCCTTGTGACTCGGGCCTTCCCCTGAAAGGTGGTGCTGAGACTCTGAATTCCTGGGAGCTGGGCTCTGGCCACGTGTCAAGTGGTTGGCTGAGAGCTCCGTCCCTGAGGAAGACTCGTACCTGAATGAGCGTCTGCCTCTCTGCTTTGGGGAGGTTCTTGGCTTGAAGCTCTGCCTCTTCCCATTCCTTCTTTACCTGGAACAAGGTCACAAATCACTATCACCAGAGAGTAATCCCAAAATAACCCTCCATTCTCTAACAGTTCTGCCAGGCCCTGAACCTGATGTTAGAAACTGTGTAGAAGGCCGGCGCCGCGGCTCACTAGGCTAATCCTCCGCCTTGTGGCGCCGGCACACCGGGGTCTAGTCCCGGTTGCCCCTCTTCCAGGCCAGCTCTCTGCTGTGGCCAGGGAGTGCAGTGGAGGATGGCCCAAGTGCTTGGGCCCTGCACCCCATGGGAGACCAGAAGTACCTGGCTCCTGCCATCGGATCAGCGCCGTACGCCGGCTGCAGTGCGCCGGCCACAGCGGCCATTGGAGGGTGAACCAACGGCAAAAGACTTTCTTTCTGTCTGTCTCTCTCACTGTCCACTTTGCCTGTCCAAAAAAAAAAAAAAAAAACCTGTGTAGAAGAAAACCGTCCCAGCGTCTCTGGGAACTCAATGGTGTTACTGTCCCAGAAGGTTCTGGGCCTCAGCTGACCCCAAATGCAGCCTCAATTCCATGACCTCCTCCCTCTTTTTCTAAAGTCTCTGTGCCTCAGTCTCCTCACCAAAAAAAAAAATGAGGTCAATGCCTAATTCTCAGAACCATGGGGTCAGCATTTTGGGTTGCAGGTAAAGCCACTGCCCAAGATTCTGGCTTCTCATCTGGGCACCAGTTCATGTCCTGGCTTCTCCACTTCCCATCCAGGCCCTGCTAATGGCCTGAGAAAAGCAGCAGAAGATGGCTCCAGTGTTGGGGCTCCTGCCGCCCACGTGGGGGACCCGGATGAAGCTCTTGGTTTTGGTCTGGCTCAGTGCTGGCCATTGCAGCCGGCTGGGGAGTGAACCTGCATATGAAGATGTCTCTCTCCCTTCTCTCTCTTGCAAAATTAGTAGATCTTGAAAAGAACGGATATGGATAAAATAATGAGCACTTCTCAAAGCATAAGCCCAGTGCTGGTGACATGTGGGACATCAGGCCTACAAGGCATTCCCTTTTCCATTTGCACCCACGGAAGCACTTACTAGCCCATTTCACTGCGACCTGCCTACCTGAAGAGGAAGCATGTGTAACTGCTTAGTGTGTCATACATAATGTTGGAGTTAAGTGGCGTGCAAATCCCAGGATTCAACTAATTTTTACTTCAGAAACAAACTCAAGTCCAAACTGCATAATTTTAATACATTCAAAACAACTATACAACTTGTAACTAAAGCTACAAATTTCCCAATCACACCAAAAGTTTTCTGTCAAAAGCGTCTTTTCTTTGGCCCCTTTTATTTAATAAACCTAAAAGCTACAGCTAAAATCTTGTGAAGACTCCCTGAGTCCTACCTAAATTTAAAAAGGATCTCAATACCCAGCTTTCAGAAGGACTAAGCTGGGATACACAGCTTAGCAAACCGCCTTCCCCAAGACACTCGGAAGATGAGCCAAGGAGAATCCTCCAGGCCTGAAGTCTACTGTGCCACTGCACACGTCACCATCAGTGCCATAAACCTTGAGTGTAATGTAAACGCACACGTGCCACAGACGGCTGCTGCTCACCATCACTGGGCTAGACAAACAGTGCAGAACACACACTGGGAACAGAGTAGGCGAGAGCGGACACCTCCTGAGGTCTGGTCCTGAAGACACGAGGCCTCAGGCCAGACCACACGCTTCTGGCTGGCTCACAAGGCCAGTCCACCTGACCATCTCAGTGCCCCACAGAAACCCTGCTGCTTCTAGGAGTCCTCCATCCGGGGACCCCGACTGCTTCTCCCCGGCAGCAGCACGGACCTCCCCTCCCCCAGCACTCTCTGGCTGGTCTTTCGGGCAGAACCACCACCTCTGTGTTCAGTGAGATCTCTCAGCTCAAACTGGTGCTTGCTGGTGCTTACTTCGAGCAGTGTTACATAGTGATAAATATCACGGTAGCTTCTCTACCTTTCTGCAATGAATGGTCTATTCGCCTAAGTTCTCTAAGGACTCGTTTTCCCTTTCCAACTGTATTGAATAAAAACAGCCCTTCCTCTGCACAGCAGCTGGGGCAGATACCCTCACAGCTTGCTATGATTTAAAAAAATCTTCCGGCGGGCAGAAGAAAGGGAACGTGGCGGTATCTGAATGAACAATCGTCAACAGCTACAGCCAAAAACCTTCTGAGCATCCACAAGGAACAGGGAGAAATTCGCTATTCTGATGAAGCCCAGAGTGGATCCGAGGAAAACCATATGGCCTGGGAATTTTCCCAACACACGGGTGCGTAATGCAGGGTGGGGGATGGGGGTAGGGGCTTCAAAAGTAAGTGGAGAGTTCCTCTCCGACCTATGTCTACCATAAACCCGACTCAACTGAGCCACGGGCCTGCCAGTACCACACTTCCTGCAGGCCTGCATGAGCTGGTGCCTCCCAATTACTGGAGAAATGGAGTCGCTGCCCCCTTGGCTGCAGAGCTCTGTCCCTGGAGTGCCTAATGCAAAACATCTGCATTTTCTAGACTCTCCCTGTATCTCTACTGCCACTCCTTTTGAGGGCAGGCATCCCGTCGGGGGACATGCACCACAGGAGTCAACAACAAGACAGTTCAAAGACAAGAACAAGAGGCAGAGCCAGGACCTGAGCACACACAGGGAGCCTTTCAACCACAGGCAGCCGACAGCTGGCTGCCTCCCCGATGGACACCAACGCACCCTGGAAGCCTGCGGCCGCCACCAGCTGAGAAAGAACAAGCCCCCGGCCAGGCCGCACCTGCACCAGAAAGGGGGCACAGCACCACCACCAGACACACGGTGAGCATGAGACACAGAGAACTGAGCTTCCCACTGGCGACAGGCAAGCAAAGCCTAGATCTAGAAAGCACAAGGATGAAGGGAGAAACGACTGACAGCAAACACCTGAGTCGGCGGGCACACGACACAGATGTGGTCACGAGGACGGCCGGGGAGAACAGAAGGCTAGACAGGACAGCGCTGCTGCGCAGGGCCAGTGCAAGGCGGGACTTACTCATCGCTTTACACACAGCCATACAATAATCCTCAGACTCAAAATTGTTCCTGTTGCCGCCGCAGCCGCCATATATAAAGCGCATGCACTTTCCCTTGGAGACGTCGAAGTACCAACGAGGCATCACGGCCCGGCAGGGCCCCGTCATGGCCTCCTGGGAGCAGACAGCTGTGTGGAAATGGTCAGAGTGTCAGCAGGACAGAGGCAGTCGCTTCAAATGCTTTCTAGTGCTCTGGGCCAGCCACGGGCAGGACTGTTCCAGCCTGAACACCGTGGCCAACCTAACTCACCATACATCAGGCATTCTGGGCAGAGTCTACTCCCCAGGTAAGGCAGGCATTTTAGGGAGTGAAATCACTTTTTTTCCCCTCATGTCTGGAGTCTAGACTGATACACAGGTTGACACACAGGAATTCCCTGTCTCACAGCTCCGTAAGGCTCCTGTCTATGGTTCAGGGGAGGTATCGCCCTAATGTGTCCATTTTGGTGGTCTCAAGGAGCCAAGGAGACTATGCAGTTGGCAAGGCCACTGGAAGTGGCAACAATCACCACAGTAAATACTGAAGCACAAGCACAGGGCGGGTGCTTTCTGTTTTATTCTCCAAAAGTCAATCAGAAACTTCTACGTCGATTAAGCAATTTCCCCCTGAACAGGTCCTAAATGGCGTCTCGGCTCTCTAACTGGTTTGAAACACACACCAACAGGAGGCTGTGTGTGCACGGCTCTGGACTATCACAAGCTCTTCTTTTTTAAATTGGAAAGATGGGAAAGCGGGCCATCCCAGTACGATGCCAGCAGGTCAGCAGACTTCACCCCCTCGGCGACAAACATCTGGACAAACAGGGCAGCCTAGAGACTGGAGCACACACCAGGTGTGGCGGGAAGCCGGGACCTGAGCAGTACTGCAGAGGGGAGCTCCTCTCGGGGCGAGAAGAACTCTGCCCAGCGGTGGGCTGGGCTGTCCCTTCCCCCTGCTCCCTGTTCTGGACGTGCCTGGCCTGCAGGGAGCTGCCCTTCGGTGCTGAGACACCACCTTGCCCTCCAGGACTTACCTGCGGGGAACGCACTACAGACACCGAGGTGAGCAGAAACCACGTGGTTACCTTTAACATCGTGAGTGACCTCCTTGTCGGGGACGGTGCTTTCGCCACCCGGCTCGGTTGGGTTCTCCTCGTTGTAGTCCTCTCCTTTAAAGGTGTCGTAGTAGTAATCGCGGTCTTCCACCACTTCCTCCCCTTCCTCATCGTCCTCGTCCTCATCGTCGTCCTCCACAGCTGCTTCTGTGAAGTCTTCCAAATCCGCTTCAGTAGGAAATTCGCTGAAGGCCAGAGAGGAACAGGGAGGTTAGCACCAACTCCCACGCACAAAGCACAGCACACTTCCCTCCCTCTTCTGGCACACGGAGACAGGAAATAAGCTCAGCTCGCATTCAGCTGTGCACTCCAGCCCAGCCCAGCCCAGCCCAGCCTCATCAGCAAAAGGCGAGAGTTAACACACACAGACTGCATGATTCTGCAGAAAATAATGTGGCCCAGAATGACGGAAAGCCAAAGTCCCAGGGGCTCCTGGGATTCGCTAGGGCCGCAATGAACTGTCGGCTGAATGGATTCCAGCCTAGCGAGGGAATGCCCGCTGGATCTACTTTTACGAAAGGGCTAAGCCAGACAAAACAGTTTCACAGCTCAGGACAAGAGTTCACCTTTTATAAATATCATAGTCTTCCTCTTCCTCTTCCTCTTCCTCCTCCTCCTCTTCTTTTGTTTGAGGGCAGCACACGTATTCAGTGCCGTGGAACTGGTCTACCCCACAGGGCAGCAGCATGCCATAGCTATATAAGGTCATTCCCTGAGTCAGACATGCCTGCAAGAGAGCCACACACCACCTCAGGACACGCTCCGCAGTAAATCTGTCCAATACGCCCAGACCCCTGGCTTCGCCCCCAAGAAACCCTCATCAAGTCACCAGGGAATACTGCCTCGTATGGACAAGCTTTCTGTGAGGCTATTTTAAGATTTATAAATTGGACTTAACTTACAATGGGGAAATACCATCTGAGCCAGAAACACTGAAAGCCAAAACTGGAAAAAAATGAAGGAAAAGGGAGCTTCTGGGGATCATCAGCCCCAGGTGAAGGTGGTCAGCACTAGTTACCTGCATCACTGGTGCAAGTACTAATTCAGAATTTGACCTGCTGCCCAGAAACCAACCCAACCTCAGAAGGCAACAAAACAAAGGGTGTTTTTCTCCACCAGAAGAACAAAATGCCGTGCCATCCTTCTCTGTGTGAGTCCAGAACCGGATTTTCTGTAGCCAGCTACTTCTCTCTTTTTTCTCGTACACGACTCACTGGTTTACATGGAAGGTAGAGTGACACAGAGAATCTGCTGGACCACTTCCCGAATGGCCAAAACCACTGGGGCTGGGCCAGGCCCACGTCAGGCGCCACAGACTCCATCTGCTCTCCAATGCGAGCGGCAGGACCAGGTGGTCCAGCCATCAGCTGCTGCTTTCCCAGGGAGCTGGTCTGCAAGTGGAGCAGCCGGGATCAACTGGCACTTTGATGCGGGATGCACAAGTCACACTCAGCGGCCTAACTGGCTGTGCCACGAGGCTGGTTCTGCACAGTCCTTGCCTGCCTCCAGCACGCAGTGTCCTTGTTCAACATCCTTAACTTCAGGTGCTGGCTGAACACTCAGTGTCCCTACAGAAACCTCTCCCAAGTGCGTCTAGGATAGGAGAGCGAAGGAACTGCAAACTTTAAGGAGACAGACAGGAAATACAAACGCTATACGCATGCGCACCGAGATCTGGAGCCGCATGCTCCCTTCTCACCTCACCGGAAACAACATTCGACTTCTCCCCGGCATTCCCTTACCTCCTTGACTACAGTGTGCCAGTGCTGGTGGTTCTCGCACACCTCCACTCGTTCTTTGTGGAAAAACTGGCACTTTTCCGGAACTAGCAGAACATCACTGACAAATTCACCCACTGGAAAAGAGAATTTCTGTCAGAAGCAAATCTGATCATGATTCAAGGTGACAATGACCCTCATTGCAGGCTGCAGTGTCGGTCATCCAGTTGTAACAACGCACCATTCCTTCAGAGCCAGGATGCCAGGAACTGTCCTAAGGCTTCCCTGCCCACAATCCTTTACATTCTCATTCCAGGGCAACAGCATCACATGATGGGAATAGGACTAGGCCCCCCCTCCCCCCACGACCACCTCCAACACACAGAGCTACTCCCCACGATCTCCGCACTCTTGTAAATATCACTGCTTGCACCTATTGTTCCTTTTTTATTTGACAGGTAGAGTTATAGACAGTGCGAGAGAGAGACAGAGAGAAAGGTCGCACCTATTGTTTTAATAACAAAATACCCAGGAAACTCTACAGTACTCACAAATCTTTCTTCAGGTAAGCCACCATTACAAAGGAGCACACTGTCCTTATATGGGAAACCCTGGCAGGAACTACCTTCACCAAGCGATCAACTTAACATCATCTATAATGGACAAAACTAACACATGTGATGTCTTCTTTTAATTATCCTTTTATTTATTTAAAAGCTGGAGTTACAGAGAGAAGTAGAGGCAAAGAAAAATAGGTCTTCCCATCGCTGTTTTTATTTTTTATTTATTTATTTATTTTTGACAGGCAGAGTGGACAGTGAGAGAGAGAGACAGAGAGAAAGGTCTTCCTTTACCATTGGTTCACCCTCCAATGGCCGCTGCAGCCGGTGCATCACGCTGATCCGAAGGCAGGAGCCAGGTGCTTCTCCTGGTCTCCCATGGGGTGCAGGGCACAAGTACTTGAGCCATCCTCCACTGCACTCCCAGGCCACAGCAGAGAGCTGGACTGGAAGAGGGGCAACCGGGACAAAATCCGGCGCCCCGACCGGGACTAGAACCCAGTGTGCCGGCACCGCAGGTGAGCTAGTGAGCTGTGGCGCCAGCCGGTCTTCCCATCGCTGTTACACTCTCCAAATGGCCACAAAGACTCAGGCTGGGCCAGGCTGAAGCCAGGAGCCAGGAACTTCCTCCAGGCCTCCCACATGAGTGCAGGGGCCCAAGGACTTGGGCCATCTTCTGATGCTTTCCCAGGCGCAGTAGCAGGGTGCTGGATCAGAGCAACCAGGACTCGAACCAGCGCCCATATGGAATGCAGGCACTGCAGGCCAGGGCTTTAACCCGCTTCGCTACAGCACTGGACCCTACATGAACATATCGCCTACATGGTATTTCTGCCCAAATCCAAATTTACACATTCTCTGTTGAAAACAGTATGGCAAGGACTCTTAAAAAAATCAGTCTTCAGGCCAGCACCGCAGCTCACTAGGCTAATCCTCCGCCTGTGGCGCCAGCACCCCAAGTTCTAGTCCCGGTTGGGGCACCGGATTCTGTCCTTGTTGCTCCTCTTCCAGTCCAGCTCTCTGCTGTGGCCCGGGAGTGCAGTGGAGGATGGCCCAGGTGCTTGGGCCCTGCACCCCATGGGAGACCAGGAGGAAGCACCTGGCTCCTGGCTTCGGATCAGCGCGGTGCGCCAGCCATAGCGCGCCGGCCGCAGCAGCCACTGGAGGGTGAACCAACAGTAAAGGAAAACCTTTCTCTCTCTCTCACTGTCCACTCTGTCAAAAAAAAAAAAAAATCAGTCTTCAAAGATTTCTTTAAAGAGATTCAGAAAGCGTTCTAGATCAAATATAATGTGTGAGGTGCTGGTGCTGTGGTGTAGCAGGTAGAGCTGCCACCTGCAGTGCCGACATCCCATATGGGCACTGGTTCAAGTCCTGGCTGCTCCACTTTCGATCCAGCTCTCTACTATGTCCTGGGAAAGCAGTAGAAGATGGCCCAAGTCCTTGGGCCCCTGCACTCATGTGGGTGACCTGGAGGAAGCTCCAGGCTCCTGGCTTCAGATCAAACCAGCTCCAGCCATTGTGGCCATTTGGGGAGTGAACCAGCAGACAGAAGACATACCTCTCTCTCTGTCTTTCAAATAAATAAATCTTTAAAAAAATAAAAAACAAATATAATGTGTGAACCTTTACAAGGGAGTCTAAAGAGAACGTTATTTGGACATTCCAAAGTGTGGAATTTTCAGGGAAATTCCCAAAGTGTGACAACTGTATTGTTATTTCCCAGGGGAACGTCCTACTCTGAGGAGAAACAAGGGAGGCATTTAGAACTGAGCTGTTATGATGCCCCAACTGACTTTCCAATGGTTCAGAAACCAAAAAAGGTATCTCCCCATCCTTCCATCCTCCCTGAGGTAAATCAGACAAGACTGGAGAATCTAAGGAAACACTCTTTTTTTCCTTTGGGTCCAACTTTTTCAAAAATAAAAAAAGTGGGAGAAAAACACACATGGCTATTATTCATGAGAAAAAAAATGGTACCTCACCTGTTTCCAAATAATCAGGGGTTGTAGTGGATAGGAGTAGAGCCAGAGATGAAGTAAGTCAGGCTTTCAAGTTGATGACCATTAAACACCCAGGCAACGGGTACACAGGGGCTTAATCATACAACTGTCACTATGTTTGGATATGCTTGTAACTTTCCACAATAAAAAGTTAAAAATATGTGTCTATCACTGGACTCTCACCCTGATTCTGACTCAGCAGCATCCAGTGAGACTCGGCAGTTTGCACTGAACAAGCACCCCAAGTGATTTTTTAATGCACAGCCCAGTGCTCCACACAGAGTCTCAGGAGTGAGAGAACACAGGGAGCACCCAGCTCCGAGACGCACACTGAGCAGGGACAAGGGAAGAAGACGCAGGCAGCAGAACCGCTGAGGCTTTTTTTTTTCTTTCTTTCAAGATTTGTTTACTTGAAAGGCAGAGTGACACGGAGAGAGGGAGAGATAAAGATAGACAGATCTGCCTACAGCCATACCACCCTAAATGTGCCAGATCTCGTCTGATCTCGATAGAGCGAAGGACTGATCAATCTTCAGGCCACTGGTTCACTCTCCAAATGGTCACAAGGTCAGAGGTGGGCCAGGCAAAGTCAGGAGGCAGGGGCCAGGGTCCCAGAACTCCACCCAGGCCTCCAACGTGAATGACAAGGGACCAAGTACATGGGCCACCTTCTGCTGCTTTCCCAGGCGCATCTAGGGAGCTGGCTAGGAAGTGGAGCGGCTACGACTCCCAACTGGCACCAACACCCACTGCACTGCGCTATGCCACAAAGCCAGCTTGTTTACAAGGAAGGTGTTAAAACAGTGATGTGGTCTGCAAAAGGTCTCGGGGCTCGGCTAGTTCAAGGTCTCTGCAGAACTGCACTGTCATGGCTGTATCCTTGGCTGTGGCAGAGGTCAGTCCTTCCACTAAGCAAGGGGTAGGAGAGAGGGAGCTGCTCAGCCGGGAGACGAGCTCCTGGTGTTACAAGCCACATAGTCTCCCCACATGCAAATACACAGCGTTACACAGGGCACTCGGGTGTCACAGCACCGACTGACCCAGCTCCACCTAAGATTAACACAGGAAGGCAGAGGTCAGTTAGACACAGCACTGCCCCCGAGGAGCCTAAAGGCTCCACCCACAAGCTTCCCAGTCAGCTGGACTTACAATCAGTGCGTAACAGTACCAAAGACCGCCCTGGTTAACTAGGATCCGCCTCTCCTGGTGAACCTAACCCTGATAAGTAGAAACTAGTCCGATTCTGAATCCAGCCACCAACTTACATGGCTTAATGTGACTATTCTGTACGAAGTGGGCAATCTTTACACTTGTTAATTTACGACAAAAAGCATCACAAGTGTATATACGATGACAATACCAGGGTTTAGCCTCGGCACTGTCGTCTACTAGCAAGGAGATCTCAGGCAAGTTCCCCGACATTCTGTGCCTAAGTTTCCTTATCTTGCTGTTGTAAGGACTTAATGATCTACTGCACACAACACATGAGAAGCTCGGAACAGAAACTGGTCAACGGTGGGCACTACTCAGGTGTTGGCTCTGAACGGTGGACATTAATACTTTATTATAAAGTCTAGTGTAACCAGCTTTGTAGAAACCATATAACCATAGTTACAAAGCAATCTATAATGAAAAAGCAGTTAATGCACTTTAATTTGTTAAATCTCATTTTTTTGTACAATTCTAACAAGGAAAGAATTTAAATAGGAGTTTCACTATTGAGTATGTGTTCTACAGAAATGTTAAAACTTCTTTTTGATAATGGAATACTACAGAGCAGCTTAAAATGAATTATATATATGTGTATGTATGTATGTATATATAAAACCTCGAAAAACTCCAAAATCATGTAAAGTGCAACCGAGTCGTGAAGAGTCAAGTACAGAACCCCACTCGTGGTCTTAGGACAGCTGCAAGCGACTCCCAGACAACATCCACAAGTGGCAAAAGCTCAGAAACACACCTGGGAAGACACAGGCGTGCCGGGAGGCGGGCGCCTCCAGAGCGCACACTTCTCCCTTCCCTGCACAGGAGACGGGGCAGTGAGGAACTGAAATCCACATAGGGAGGCCACGGGGGCCCATCACCTTATGTCTCAATTTTCCAAGAGGCTTGAAATATTTCATGGTTAAAATGGAACTTAGGATCAAAGCACCTTTTATAAATGCCAGAAATTAAATAATTAACTCCATGTTGAACTAAAATTAAATGCCACCAACTTATTCCATGATTGGATCAATCTGACTTCCACAAAACCAGAAAAGGATTGACAACATTAAATATGAACATAAAATCTTCAAAAACAAAGAGAAAACCTCTTTGATTCCAGCAAATCCAATTCTAAAAATATACCCTAAGGAAATAACAAAGCAAGTGAACAAAGATATTTGTTAACAGTGTTATTATTAACATCAAAAAACAGGACCAACCTAAATAGCCACCAAAAGAAAATTAGCTAAATGAGGGTATCTGCATTCAATAGACTACCACAGGGTCATAAGAAATATGGCTTATGTTTATGCCTGACATGGAAAATTTTCCATCATGGTCTGATAATTTTAAAAAATCCATGAA